ATATCTAACACTATTTTGGTTTGCTATGCTTCTAAATGAATATGAAATAGAGTTTATGTTCAGAAAAATTCGAAACATTCGAAATTTGGGCAATTTTCACATTAGAGCATAGGTCTCCCGAAAAGGTCTTTTATTCAAAAAAAATCTATACAATTTGCTTTAAAATGCAATGCTTTGACATGCAATGCTTCAATGTACAGTAAAACCTCTATAATTTGTATTACATGAAGTACGTGTAATATTACAATAACGTTGCGTCATTATGTAATAATTTTGCGAAAATTCCGAGGAAAATTCGTCAAATTCGTAACTCAATTTGATCAAAACTATGCGGGATGATGGCTCCCGGCCCAGCGTCACAAAATAAAGCTCTCGGATTCGCTGGGAAATTTCAGCCAGCCAATCGGAGTTTTTTGAAATTTTATAAATTTTCAGCAAATCAGAGAGCTTTATTTTATGACGTAACGCCGGGAGCCATCATTCCGCATAGTTTGACCAAACTGAGTCGCGAAATTGATGAATTTTTACAAAATTAACTCGTTTTAAAGTGATGAGAGAACAAAAAAAACACATAGTGAGTTAGTTTTTTTTAATGAATTTCGATGTCTATGTACCAGTTTTTTCGTCATTAAGTTTTTGTATATAGTTTTAAATTTGTATTATTTTGCCAACCTTGGGGATATATATTATAATACATACACGGCAAAAAACGCCGAGCCAGCTGCTCAACAGGATTGAACAATGTTTTGCTGCCCACGTTGTTCACACTTGTCAACAATATTGAACAATATTGTTAAGCCTGAATCGGATGTAACAATATTGTTCAATATTGTTGACAGCTATGAACAATGTGGGCAGCAAAACATTGTTCAATCCTGTTTTCATCAGTATTGCATCAACCTGTGCGTTTTTTACGCGTGTAATGACGCAACGCTATTGTGATGTTACACGTACTTCATGTAATACAAATTATAGAGGTTTTAGTGTACATTGGAGCATTGCATGTCAAAGCATTGCATTTTAAAGCAAATTGTATGGATTTTTTAAAAAAATAAAAGACCTTTTCGGGAGACCTATGATTAGAGGTCCTCGCATTGTTAATTTGTTATGAGCAAAACCGATGCGCAGAACGGACTTGACTTCCACTTTAAATATTCCGTATAAATATTCAAAATATATGGGCCCATAGAACGTTCAGAGATTGGGCCGCCTGTGCTCAAACCAAGGGATGAAATCTTAGCCCCGGGGCTGAACAATCAAGTCTCAAAATAGAGCTATTTTGCTTCTGTGAAGAGTTTAAAGTGTTGTTTACTGTAAATGATCGATTAAACGCCGCTCACTGAATAAGCGCCACTCTTGCGTAAGTGCCACATCTTTGCCGAAAATAGTTTAATCTTTTTCGTTTGGCGCTGAAATAACCAGGTCGAAACCGACCTGGTATTTTGCAGGTTCATATCTTCGGTTCAGTGCATGCTATGTAGATGAAAATAATATTCGATTCAGTGAAAAAAATTTCTATCGATAGATATAATAAAATGTCAACATTATAGCGATTTACGACTTTTAGAGGGCAAGCGGTATCATATTTCATTAGATTACACAATATTCCCGAAAAATGTAAATAATGTAATAAAATGTATAACAAAGGCATAACTTTTGCCGAACATAACTTCGGCCCCTTTCAAGATATCTTTTTCATAATAGGTTTTATAACTTGGTTTTAGAAGATGTGCCACAGCCGCCGTGCTATATCACTCTACACTCGGGATTCAGACCTATTTGTTTGGAAAAAAAGGGCTGTAAGAAAACTTGCGAGAATCGTTCGACAATCGTTCAATCGTTCGTATTAAATAAACGTGATTACAGATAAACACTGTAGCTTCAAACAAGAATACATACGTAATTTGCTCTGAACCAGTCTGTTTATATTTTCTTTGATCGCGTGTCTTGTATTTTCTTGCGAAGGTGAGGGAAGTGTGGTTTTAACAGTGGTGGATTTAGGGGGGGGGAGGGTGCGCAACCCCCAGGATCTGGTCAACAGGGGTGCATGGGGTGGGGGGGGGGTGCAAAAATGACGTTTATCCTAATTCTAACCAACTTATGTCAAGGAATTCAGTTGGGTATCACTAGTTGACAATAGCGGAATAGCCAATATTAAATATTCTGAATTTTGAAATGTTTTGAGAATCAAAAAATTTTCCAGAATGTTTTCTCAGAATGCTGGAAATGCCATTTCAGAGACCCAAATTGTAAAATTTTTCCGGGGGAGTATGTCCCCGGGCCCCCATAGAAATCTTGCGCCTTTGGCACTCGTTTCGCCGTTGGTTAGCACCCCCCCCCCCAAAAAAACAAACTTTGCTGGATCCACCACTGGGTTTTAACTCTTTGATGTGACTGATGCCGTATGAGCCCGTATCCAGCAAAATATATCAGCCAGAGATACTTATTTTACGTTAAAATGTTAAAATAAATCTATGTTTACACTCACCATAATTTAATATATTCAAGGCCGTCTATCTTCGCTGTAGCATCTCGTTTTGTTCCTTGTGTTTCGCATATTTTTTAGATATCGCGCGTAGCATTCTTCGCTCGCTAGCAGTTCACCGGCATATATCATAATCGCCTAAAATTTTGCTATCAACTGCTTCTAGAGTTCTAATTTCGTGACTGGTATCATTTGATTCATCTTCTATAATATACCCAGGAATATAGTTGTATTCTGAGTCACAATGAGAACCTCTGATTGAGAACCATGAGTGCTGGAAAACATATGTGCCTGCGATCCTCGGGAAGGAACGTGAGGCTCTGGGATAATCTTTTTCAGGGAGGAATCTGATTGGCCGTTGATATGGAATTCTGGCTTCCGGCAACGGATTATCCCAGAGCCTCACGTTCCTTCCCAAGGATCGCAGGCTCGGGGAACGAGATTGTCTCTTAAGCTACGTCACACGGTTGTCGCCCCAGGCCCTTTTCCGGCCTGCGCGTAGCGCTAGATACTGTGCTATCGAGTTGTGGGTGTGCTTAAACAGTGGTGTAAACAGAGTCAATCGTTCTAGTATGAGCCCACGCTACTATGGTCAGTCCTTGTCAATGGTCAATGTTTGGATTACATGGTCAATGTTTGGATGTTATGGTCAATGTTTGAATTACATGAAGTTGTAGGCATGATATTATCGAAAATATTTTAAAAAATCAACATAATTTTCATCGTGATGAAACCTGGATGAAACTATGCGATATATATAGGTTGATGACAAGGTATTTTAAATTAACTCAATCGTACTTTTCTGCCCCCTGTGCTATTATGGTTCATGCAGATAGCGCCCCTGATCTTTGTGTGACGCGCGTATCCCCCCCCCATTAATTTACAATGTAAACAAAAATGGAATAGACCTTTCCCCTTATGAGTGAAATTCTGATCTAGACAAGCCAGGACAAAAATTTCATCACAGCGTGAAAGAGCATCACAGAATTAGTAATATTCCGAAGTTTCGTTGCGAAATGTTGTAAAATGCGGATAATATAGCTTTGCGAAGTTTGCCGTTCAGTCATTTTGTATTACAAATGGGAAATTGGTAATCAGTTTGATCATCTGATTACCAATTTCCCGTTTGTACTGCAAAATGACTGAAAAACGGCAAACTTCGCAAGGCTATATTATCCGCATTTTACAACATTTCGCAACGAAACTTCGGAATATTACTAATTTTGTGATGCTCTTTCAAGCTGTGATGAAATTTTGGTCCAAACATGTCTAGATCAAAATTTCACTCAAAAGGGGAAAGGTCTATTGGAATGTTAATGCAAAAAAGAGCTGAAAAAACTAACGTAAAAAATGTTTTCTGCACATTCCTAAACAACTTGATGGTTTGAAGACAATATTGTTGGACAACCTCGTACCCAGGGCATTTTGCTTCCGATCAGCGAAAATGGCCCTGGCATCGGCCGGTCACATGACTTTAAAATCTCCAGTATTTGGGGTGTTCAATTATGATAATTTATGCGTATAAGTACGTATATAGAATAATGATATACATTGTAATTACTGGCAGGAGTAAACAAACTCAATGCTGCCTATATAATCAAAGGGAAAGCAACGAAATAAGTTGACTTTATTCGGTTTTCGTTGTTTACACATCATTCAGCAACATAGCCCTTACTGATATTGATGACTATTAAACATATTCAGAGCCTGTTTAGCCTGTGATTCAATTCTTAATAAACAACAAACAAAACAAAACCGCTTCAGCGTTTGCCGTTTGGTTTATATAAATCGTGTTATGAGCAAATATATTCGTATCACAATCTTTGACTATAAGTATAACGCTGTACGTCTCTTGAAATCGACGATGTATAAACAACGCATGTGAGAAATTTATGTTGAACCGAATCAAGTACTCGTCTATACAAATGTACAAAGACTTAATTTTAATTTAATCAATACTTTAGTCCTTCAAGAACTAATTATAAATTTGTCACTCCACTCTCGTTTCACCAAAATAATAATTATTTCCTCCGTATATTGAATAATTATATTCAAAATCATTGACCAATCAGGTTGCAAAACAGACCAGCCGATGCCAGGGCCTTTTTCGCTGACCATCCAACCGCGGAAGCAAAAAGCCCTGGGTACGAGGTTGATTGTTGGATTCATTTTCTGTATATCTGATGAAGGAAAAAGGGTTTTATAGATTCATATCATGAGCGAAATAAAAATTTGAAAAGGAATCGAGCTGATCGAATGTGGGCATATTCCAAATACAAACATTTGGTATGAAATGGGATATTTTACTTCATCATGCGAAGGTAGGATAAACATTTTCACAGTAAGAATATTCTGACATTGCTTGGCTACTATTTTTCAATAATCATATAGCCCAAAATTGACCATGCATGCATTTAAAGGCACAGTTCAGCCTGTTGAACGATGGTTTTTAAGGCGCATTTCAGCCCTTTTAATTGAAAAAACTAACTAGGAAAATCAATTAAGCATAATTCAAGATCACCAAACTTAATGTTTTTAACATTTTAAAACCTTTATATTGTTAAAAACATCGAGTTTACTGATTTTGAATTATGCTTAATTGATTTTCCTAGTTAGTTTTTTCAATTAAAAGGGCTGAAATGCGCCTTAAAAACCATCGTTCAACAGGCTGAACTGTGCCTTTAAAACAGCTAGAATTTGGAAAAAACAACTACAATTTCCTCGACACTTTGAAGACTTAAATATATGACCGTTTTTGTGTTAATCAGCCGGCCTGCTTGGAATCCATTGAAAGTTCATTGTGAAGTGTTTTTTTTACTAAGGAAGCGGTCATTATTTATGGCGGGGAGTGGCACCGAAGAGAAAAGGGTTGGGTAAACAAAATTTTGAGTGAGTAAAAGGTTGGGTAAATAAAAAAGAAAACAACTGAAGGGTTGGGTGATAAAAATTTATTGTCATTTCCAAAGCATGACTCACTGAAATATTGGACACTGACAAGCAACAGTCATCAATATGGCAATATGGCAAATATGGCAAGATGTCAACAGTCATATGTCAATACAATATGTGAATCAATCAGAGTCACTATATCTTGATAATTTCCCGATTTGTTGGGAGGCAAATGGTGTCTCCAAAGAAAGTACATGTGCAGACAACATGAAACTTTAGACTGCAGAAAATTTCACAAGCCGTTATCAAACTCATGTCACAGAAGTGGTAAAGGACATGTGTGACAGCTGAATGGTATTCGTTTGTAACGTTTTTGGCCAGGGGTGGGTATTTATTTTTTAATTGATATTTGAGGTTGGGTAATCAATTTTTTTACTTTTTAATGGTTGGGTCAGCAAAATTTTGCCACGAAAAACATTTCTCTTCGGTGCCACATCCCACCATAAATAATGACCTGTCCCTAATTGATTTGATTTCTATTATTAGTATAACTGACGCCGACACTCCAAAAATATTCAGCGGGAATCTTTTTTCGTGCGACTGTAGTCTTTGACATTGCAGTGACAGTGTTACGGAAAACTATAAAGGTTGCAAAATATCTCCATTTTATGAAAAAAGCACAAAAAGGCACCGTTCAATTTTACGTGAGACATAAAGCCAAGTTAAATGTCTATAGTTTGGTGTGTTCAAATTTATCTCAACCTATCTCAACGAGGAGAAAACACAGTTTTAAATACGTCCGCGCTTTGACAAAAAAGAAAAAATGTCGTCAAAATCGAGTTCAAAATGCATGTCTTTTCCTCAACAGTCGCTTCGTTCATTTTGCATGTGAAATAGATACCAATATAAACTATATAAACTGATACTAGATACTTCACTAAACGTTTATATTATGTATTTGAAGCAGGAAGTGATTTCGTTCAAATGATAATTGAAAGTTTGTGCTGTTTATATATCGTATTATCTGCATAAATAAGTATAGTACTGAGTACTCGCGAATCTATATTGTCGTGCGGAGTATACGGAAAACTATAAAGGCTGCAAGATATCTCCGTTTTATGAAAAAAGCACAAAGCACCGTTCAATTTTACTTGAGACATATAGCCAAGTGAAACATATAGTCAAATTTATCTCAACCTATCTCAACGAGGAGAAAACACTACCCTTAAATACGTCCGCGCTTTAAATTTTGCAAATATTTTGATCGCTCGAGTAAAATTTTTGCCCTGATATTTCCTTTCAACGAGTGTTCAGTAACGGACAACACAAGCTATTAGTACTATTTACAACATGAGCGGCCGTGTTATATCGAGCCGAAGGCGAGAGTTTGTATATCCGATACAACACGGACGTGAATGTTGTAAATGGCTTAAAAAACGACTAATCTTATGAGTTCATTGGCGAAGTAATTTTAAAAATAAACGTTGTCTAAGCCGAGAAAATCAAAGTTAAAGTTTATGTAAATCAACATGAATGTGTATCACAGATACGACACGCCCATGATTTTTTTTGTGTTTTCTCATGAATTATTAATCAGTTTTTTAACATGTGATATAACTTATTAAATAATATTTCAAATTTTAATTAACGAAACATAATTACTTAGGATTTAAATCCTTTGAAAAATTTGTCTAAGTATAATATTTTACAGGAAAATGACCATGCACCACTCCAGGTAAATTGCTAATTATGCAGAAAATAACTAATATGCCTGGCAGAAATGAAATGTTCTTATTTCCAAAAAAAAATTATCATGGGATGAAAAACTATGCTTAATTTAATATAATTATTGTAGTTTTCATAAGGATTGTCATTGTTTTCTTTAAATATAATACATTTTATTTCACCCCACGAAAACACGATTTCAGCCATATTTCGCTGTCTTGTTTGGTTTTCATCGCCGAGTCTCGCAAATATCATCCAGTCGTTGTACTTTTACATAATGATAAATGGCTAAAGACGATTTCAACCAAGTTTCATCCAATTTTGAAACAGTGCAGTGTATTTATCTTCGATATTGTGTCCTTCCATATTTCGTCAAATTGCCGTCATTTTAATGGCTCGCCGCTTCTCTGCCCGATAAATGCCACTTCTTCGTTTTCATATGTATTTAGATTACAGTATCTAAGAGTACTTCATTGTAGAATAGTCCCAATCGAAAAATTGAAAACATTAGTTGTACTTGGAAGGAAAAACCCTCCTGTAAACCATTTAGGTTCAAAATAAAAACAAATTATTTGAAAGTCACACGCAATCTTCGCGAAAACTTCTCGTGCACACATGGCGGGGGGTGAATATTTTCACGAAACGTTTGTTCGCCACCTGCACAGCAACCTATCTAAATAGTACATAAAATTATTGCATTTTTATTATTGATGACAAAACTACGCAAATATTTATTGTTTTTATCGCCGAGTCTCGCAAATATCATCCAGTTGTTGATCTCAAAATATGGCTGTTTGCCAGGAGTGAAGTCGGAGGATGTTATTATTAAACTAGAAAATATATGTATGCAGAAATCTCATGTATGTATATGTATATATATATATATATATATATATATATATATATATATATATATATATATATATATATATATATATATATATATATATATATATATATATATATATATATATATATACTGGATCCAGAAAAGTTTGACCTTCGAATATATATATATGTCGGCCATTTTGAATTTTCTTGGATTAATTATACGCGAACGCATACATCAAATGTCGCTCGTAACGTACTGTATATTGCAATATTCCAACAGCTCAAATAAGTAGAGGATCATTGCTTGGAGTTCTTACACATATTTGTAGTAGCTATCTAATGAACATTTGAGGGTTGTTAGCTAATTAACTCTTGTCACAATTTGGAACCTGATCTTTTTGGCATGTCGTAATTTATTCTTTTGCATCCTTAGAGATTTAGACGCTTATGAGCATGCCTCGATGAATTTCTTTGTTTATTCTTTCGTATTCACTTGTGCTTATTTTATAGCTGTAACCTACGTCCAGAATTATTATATTAAAGAGTTTGGCAACCTAGAACGGCAACGACAACTGCAACGGGGAAAATATAATTGCTTATATTGTTGTATTTGAGCCAAAGTATATACGTTACTACACTTAATTTGCCTCATTAAGTATTCCTGTTTCTTTCAAACGTACCCTTAAATAAAAATAGTCCGCGAATTCAATAAAACTCTCAAATAACATCGAACGAATGAATTGTTGCCGTAGTCATGCACCGTGAAAATGATGCAAATCACGTATTAGTTTCAACAACTATGGCATTGGACAACGCTTAAGACCATGTAATTTACATTCGCCTTTGTCTTTGAGGATTAATGCTATTGTTAATGACCATATTGCCGTTGCGGTTGCCCTTGTATTTGCCGAACTCTCTATTATATTTTGCCAACGGAAATTTTAACGGAATCGATAGTCATTCGATATTTCATA